ATGCGTTTCGTGCCATCTTCCGAGTGCTCCCGACTTGTTTGGTTTATTTTCCCCCACCCTCCAGACACCTCATCACTTTCGGTCTGCCTTACATCTCCGCGTGAATTTGGCTCTCTGCAGATCGGTGTTAACGCGGTGCTGGCTTTCTCTCACCCAGCCACGGTGAGAGAAAGGTCTTGTTTTGCGGGCTGGAGGCACAAAGTTACCTGGAACGAGCACGTGCTGAGCTCCCTAGGAGTGAATATGTATGGGAGTAACTAATTCTTCTGGTTTGTACGGTTTATATGGTCCAGGCTGGAGGTGGGCCGTGAGAAATGAGAGTTGTGGCTGCTGTGGTGTATAAAAGTCGTGACTGTGTGTGCAGTACGTGGTTGCCTTAAAGTCTGACTTGCACTGCCCCATTTCCACGTACAAATAGCTCCCCCCGCCCCGTTTTGAACTGCAAATGTGGGATGCCTTAGCTCGTAGTCATTCACCTAGAGATAAGTTTTATGCACATCAGCACATTTCTTCTTACTACGTAGTTTTAGGTATCAATTCAGCAAATAATTATTTGTAGTGTTTTAGATACACACTCAAGTTTCAGTAGCTGTGGTAGGACATAAATACTGTCAGGTAACCATAAATGTTTGTCAAATGCCTTCATGACTTGGACTTTAATCATTGTATGTATAAACCATAAATCAAAAGCCAGAGGTAGATTATGGCTTTATGTGAACATAAAAGAAGTCTAAGACTGTGTAAGCCTGTTCAATAGAAACTGTTTTCTCAGTTTCCTTCTGTCTTTCTTTTCCTCTGTCAACACAGCTTCTACTTTAACTTGCACACCTCTGGTCTTTTTTGCTTTTGGTGAGATAATCTTTTCTGTTTGGAAATAGATGAAGAATACTCTAAGAGAATTCTTTTCTGTATACTTTAGATTCTACTCTGGATGCAACATATCTAGAAATTATAGGTACCAGTATAATACACTGTTATCTTTCTTTTTTTTTAAATATATTACAAAATCAATTTTACAGACAACATGGCAGTCTTTAAGCATTTCTCCTTTAAACTGCTAGCTCCTGTATTCATTGCAGTAAAGAAAATCCTTGCATTCCTTACCTGGTTAACTCACATTTAACTTCAAGGCCCACAGCTCTTGTTGAGAGGTCAGTAGGGCCCAGCCCCTGGATCAGTGTGTCCCTCTGTTCCTGCCTGCCCTCCAGCAGCTGTCATTTTCTTCTGCACCCATTTTTAGAAAGTGACACTGCCCAGTGTGTCCTGTATACTGTTTATTGGCAACTCAAGCCTTGCTGCCAGTTCCCAGTATAGAAGAGTTTACCATAAGGTTTCATCAATTAAATATTGCAGAGTTTGTTAAGAAAGCCTTATATAAGTTCTAAGTAACATAAAAATATTTTTCTGAGGTTTAAAATGTTTTCTTCGAGGTTGCTTAGACTTTGGAATGGCTTCCATGCTGTTTGAAACTATGCTGTAAAAACCTGTTGGCAGTTGTAATTCATGACACAAAGACCTCCGTAAATAATAGTTGCAATGATGGGATTTTCATGTCAACTGCACTGGAAGATATTTTCAGACCATATTGTCATATACTGTCATATACAAAAAAAAAAAAAAGTGAAATCTGAGTCAGCCAAACAAAAAGAAACTGTTTTATTCTCTCAAATAAATAAAAGGAATTTTTAGCCATTGAGTTTTGTTTTGTCTTTTTAATATAACTCTTCTGTTTCAGAAAAGAATGAGCAACATTGCTAGAGAGCAGCTACAGTTTCCAAAATGGAAATGGTAATGTTTGAAATAAGGTACACTTGGAAGTCAGTTGAATTACATGGATGTATGAAACCATTGGAACATACAGGCCTGCAGGACTGGGGGATTTGGAGAAAAAAAAAGATGAAAGTGAGAGCTCTGACTGACAATCTGAAACAACTATGTTTGAGAAGGCTGAAGATTTCCCTTCCCTGCTTTATGCACATGCTGCTTCCTACACAGCTGTCTGAGCTGCTCTGAGTCAGCTTCTGAACCCCCTGGTTTTCAGAGTGTATTTAAAGGCATACAGTGATGATGCCAGGTTATAAGCTGCTGGCTCCAAACCCAATTCATAGAAGTCCAAGGTGTCTGCAGAGAATGTTGTGAATAGTAGTTTTATGCCAAGTTATTCCCACTCCTAAATCAGAGCCCTCAATATGCACCAAAGCATTGATTCTACAAAACCTCTCGCATGTGTCTAACTTGACTTGGAAGAAGGCTCATTATCGTTCATGATCATTATTCAAAATGGAGAAGCAATATTCTGGAGCAGATTTTACTAAAAGTCACATTTGCAGTTCTTAATATTCAGTCACAGAGAATTATTTCCAGAAGTAGGAAATAATTAGCTTTTTTTTATCCAGGAGAGAAACCTTTGGAAAGGTGAACAAGAATATGACATATCATTATCTTGCAGAATCCTGACAAACTTGGCTTGCAAATGCAGTGCTTCCAGTAACATGTTGCTACTTGGTTTTTGCTTCAGGGAGTTGCCTGGCTGCCAGCAGATGAGGAGTTAACTATAGCTCTGCTTTCCCCTTTTTCTGTACAGATGCTTGGAGGCCAAGCTATGATCTAGCTCTTCTCAGAGAGAGTGGAAGAATATTTTAGTGAAGGGAATGTCCTAAATGGGTGAACTCTCAGTCAAGAAGCTTTGTGGAGAAAACTTTATTTCCCTCACAAAGTGAAAATTTGTAAGGAAGAGCCCTGTTGGGGCTGCGACCATGCTTTTATTTACTACTGCACCACTGCAGCAGTTCTTCAGGGTATTTCATAGAATCATAGAATAATAGAATGGTTTTTGTTGGAAGGGACCTTAAAGAGCATCTAGTTCTAAATCCCCTGCCTTGGGCAGGGACGCCTTCCACTAGACCAGGTTGCTCAAAGCTCCATCCAAGCCTCTTCCAGGAATGGGGCATCCACAACTTCTCTGGGCAATCTGTTCCAGTGCCTCACCACCCTCATAGTGATGAACTTCTTCCTAATACATGATCTAAATCTACCCTTTTTCAGTTTAGAGCCATTGCCCTTGGTCCTATCACTACATGTCCTTCTAGTAAGTCCCTCTCCAGCTCTCTTGTAGACCCCCTTTACATACTGGAAGTGCTATAAGGTCTCCCCAGAATCTTCTCCAGGCTGAACAACCCCAACTCACTCAGCCTGTCTGCAAAGGAGAGATACCCCAGTCCTAGCTTAAAATACTTTCTGGGCTAAGGCTGTGCTCTTTCAAGCATGCATGGAATTAAGTTTAAGCACTTGGACTGTCCCAGTAAAACCAAGTGAGCTATTCACCTACTTCAGGTTAAACAGTATGTTTACATGTTCGGTGGTCTGCACTGGCTAGTCATTATCTACCGTAAGTGTTCCAAGTCTTAGTCTTCTGCTTGATAAATCCTTAAATAAATACAGCATTAGTTATCTCATGGCCATCTGTCACCTTCCTCCCAGAGCAGAATTCAAAATTCTGAGATTGGAACTCAGAGATTAGTTGGCAAGACCATCTTTGTAAGGGTCCTGAGTTTGATTTCCTTCAGCATACCTATGAACATGTCATTAAGAGTATTTCCAGGCAAAACTATATGTATGGGTGTGTGGATGCAATGGATTGTTAAAACTAACTCTGATTCATGTTGTCATTTTAAA